AGTGAAAGGCACTACCGGGGATTCATTAGTCGTTATCCTGGGCCTGTTAATTACTTGTTTGGACACACTGATTCAATTTTAACAGGTACACATGCATGCAAGCAAAACATCAAAATGCATTGGTAAAAGTCAAATATGATGAAACCTAGACCTTCTGCATACTTGATCAAGGAGACTCCTTAAAGACTATCTGCGATTGATATTTAGGGTACTCATACAAAACTCTCCTTTTTTTTCGTCCAGACCTACACCAGCAGTTGTGATGCTTAGAAAGCAAATAGTACATTGATCCGAGGCAAGAAATGTATAACCTTACCAAGTAACAGTAGCCTCTTCTCAATCTGATTTCTCTATTTCTCGAAATCTCTTATCCCATTCTTGGGCCTCGTAGTCTTGCTCAACCAGATCCCTGTCCGTACTATAGACAATTCTATCCTGCCCAATGAATGTTCTTTGGGCCATGTCCCGAGCACTGAGGAGCTGAATAACATCATACAGTAAAGCAATAAGTAACTATTTTTCTATAATTGAAGGAACAAAGTTAATCAAGTTTCCGTTCTTTATTCAGTTGTATTTACGTCAACAAGTACAGGATTTCACATGACAAATCAAATGTCAAGTCACCCACCATATGATCCTATAGTGCAGAAGAGTACCTTGTGCCCTAAGACAACTTCATGTGAGCACTCAAGTGAATAAAACTAGATGATTGTTGTTTGAACTTCACTTATTACAAGAGTTAACAAATGCAGGATTGTCAGATTAGCATGTTTTACTTTAATTATTCCGTCAAGAAGATTAGAATGTATTAATGGCTAAATAAATGGCTAAATAACAAACATAATCAACTGCAAAAGGGATTTTGAGACAGCAAACTAATCAACTGCAAAAGGGAGACAAAATTCTAGAGAAGCACCAATACAAACCTTTCGTCTTAGTGAAAGATCTGGCAATTCAAGGGCTCGAGCACACTGCTGTCTTGCTTGATTTCTTTTCTCTATGTCAGCATTTGTCTTAAGCACGATGAACCACCGGAACAAAGGAATTGCAAAGAACGAACCAGCATAAATCTGCAAAATAATTGCAGGAAAAGATAAATCTAACCCCATACTATATTATAATTACATATATGGATGTGTATATACTGTATATATCATTGACAGGATGAAGGTCAGTGTTCTAAAGCACTTAAAGATCAGTTGACCAGTAAACATCGTTAACTACAACATGTATAACAGGAGAAAGTTCAAATTTCTCAGCACTAAAAGATGAACTAAACAATAGATAATCAGAATCAATTTCTGTACAAAGCAATTGCAAAAAGGCACATATGCTTAGTTCCAATTTTTCAACCTCCGATCACCAGCACATCAACGAAGCCACTTGCTGGTTACTGTTACTAAAAGGCTACCCCAAGAAATCAGATTTTTAAAGGTGCAGTGAGATCACATGAAAAATAGCTGCCAAAAAATAAATTAGAAGATAACCACAGTGCCACTAACCAAGTAGACAAAGTACGTGAAAGTAACCAGTCAAGCAAATTCCTAATGTCAATATCAGAATTCAGGCTTTTTATGACTTTTCCATTATAAACAATAAAAGCAAAACATAAACAAACACTTCCACAATAACACCAGAAGTCATGAGCAAAACTCTCACTTGTAATATTGATTAAATAAGAACTACTTAACAAAAATATACATAGTCTGGATCACAGGTAGGGAATTTTTATTTAATTGAAAGCAAATCATACCTGAAGTAGTGGAAATATGCCAGTAATAAACTTAATAAAACCAACTGGTGCAATTGAAGTATCCCTTCAAATAAGAATGGAAGCGGGACACATCAGATCAATATAGAGTAATTCCAACTGAGGAATAACAAAGTTCAACTCAAACATACTTTAAGATGGCTCCAAGAAAGATAACCCCAAATAAATTAAGCCCACCAAGTCCAGCGACCATTGCTCTCTCAGTAATGCTAGTGTTGCTGCAAAGAGAAAACTTAACTGTTTCAATTTAGTTTCCAGATGAATTCACAACATAATTGGGAAAATCAAATAGAATAATAAAGGACCTGAATTGCCATTTCTTCTCCTTGAAAAATTTATCAACTCCTCCAACAAAATCAGCCCATCTTCTCCCCACATATTCCTTCCTTCCACTACTTGGAGTAGAAGCTGTGCGCTGTAGAGATGGAAATTGGTACAGAATGTTTCCCTGCATAATAAGCAATTTTTTTTTTGGTGAATAACTACTTATATATCTTTTCATTTACATAACAAAAGTAAAAAATTAAAAAAATTAATGGATGGCAAGCATGATGGATTTAAAATCCAGAAGCATATAGTCAATTTCATACAGCAAACACTTAAAATTAATGATTTCACAATTTGCAATGATGTACTAGTTCAAAGGAAAAGGAAAGTGATTTATTAAACAGTTCTTAAAGTATGTATATGGAGAAAGACCAAGAAACTGAAGTCATTGCTTTAAACCAAAACGTTAAACATACCTCTTCATCTATTACAGGCTGACCCTCATACCGTAAAAGAACAGGTAAGATGTATGTTTCATCATTCTGAAATTAACAGAGGAAAAAAACGTCAAGCATCCAAATAAGGAACAAAAAGGAAACATGCTGAATATTGTAAAAGAAACTGAAATTTTCAAGTCCGTCAAGAGTTTGAACTGATTGAAATCCTCAATCTGAAGCCAAACAACAAAAATATACAACTGGTGAACTCAATTTATGGTTGGAAGTTTTTTCTTTTTTAAATAAAGAAAGTAAAGAGCACAGCTATCTAACATTTTTTAGTATGAAGCTTTGAAGCACCATGTACAAGAACAATTTCGGTTTGATCACATGAGGAACTTTTCCAATGTTCTACTGTGTACTGTGTTCAATTAACTAACCAATGGATACAACTGCTTATTCTTGACCATCAAACAAATAATCCAATCTCAGCTGGAGCTAGTACGAATTCTCCAAATACAAGAGCAGAGCTTGATTACATTATGAATTGGGAATTCCACATGAACTTCTACAACAACAAAATATTTACCAGAGTTCCCCCGGAAGTTTCTACATCAAGATATGGAGCAAGCTCTTCAGCTGCAACAACTCCACCATTAGAGGCTATGTATTGCCCAATCTGCAAGTACAGTTCATGGAACAATTGCCATTACATTTTTATACAGATCTGCCATTATTTCTAATGACAATCAAAATAACAGTTCCATCATAACAACAGATTATAGAATTTTAGGAATAAGATAAAGAGTCCCACAACTAAGGAAGTCTTCTATATAATTTCTGAATGTTTCA